CAACAGTTTACTTGAAATCGGAGCGCAGCCCCTTTGTCGGGTGCAGTGAGAGAGAAGAGCACACAGACACACAGTTTATAGGCAGACAGATAAAGGGCAGAGAGATCAAAATATCATACAACTGGTGTGAGTGGAGAGTCAGATAATAAGTCTCTGCAGGTGACCAAGAGTGTAGACAGTGAGTAAAGTGTCAGCAGCTGAATAACAAACAAAGGGATGACCTATAATCCAATTAAATGAGGCGGGGATATAATTACAAGTAACTAAAAATAAGGTGGTGCTGGAGAAAAATTAAATGACTGGAATAACATGCTAGGTATAAGAGACGCATGCTGAGGGTCTAACCAAAGTAATAAGTAATCCAAAACTGTACAAACTAATTAAGGTAGAGTGATCATAACAACTTATCGAGGTGATGCTGACAAAACAGGACAGTAAGGAAGATTTTACAGATACAGAGCAGTGTGGTGGGGTCACATGCAGTGCAACATGAACCCAAGATCATGGTTGAGGCCGTCTTCATGGGTACGGAACGTGGCTATCAGTTTCTGCTCGGCGATTCTGCATTGTTGTCTATCTTGAAGGCCGCCTTGGAGGACACTTACCCGAAGATCGGAGGCTGAATGTCATTGATCGCTGAAGTGTTCCCCGACTGGGAGGATATATTCCTGTCTGGCGATTGTTGCATGATGTATATTTATCTACTGTCGTAGCGTCTGCGTGGTGTTGCCAATATACCATGCCTCGGGGCATCCTTGCCTGCAGTGTATGAGATAGAAAACGTTGGCCGAGTCACATGAGTAAGTGCTGTGTACACGGTGGGTGGTGTTCCCACGTGTGATGGTAGTGTCCATGTCGATGATCTGACATGTCTTGCAGAGGTTGCCGTGGCAGGGTTGTGTAGAGTTGTGGTTGGTGTTGTCCTGAAGGCTGCAAACGATGGTCTGTTTAAGGTTTGGTGGTTGTTTGAAAGTGACAAGTGGAGGCTGGGCAAGATCATGTGAGATGCTCATCATCATCGATGGCATGTTGAATGCTGCAAAGAACATGGCGTAGTCTCTCTGCTCTGGAGAAGTACTGGACGATGAAGGATACTCTATCGGTCGTATCCTGTGTCTGTCTTCTCAGGAGGTCGTTGCAGTTTTTCGCTGTGGCACATCAGAACTGGCGTTTAATGAGGTGAGCATCCTATGCCGTTCTTATGAGGGTGTCCTTCAAAATCTTTAGGAGTCCATCGCGTTCCTCCTCATCTGAGCAGATCCTGTGTATGCATAGGGCTTGTGTATAGGGAATGCCTTCTTTAATATGTTTAGGGTGGAAACTAGAGAAGTGCAGCATCGTGAGGTTATCCGTGGGCTAGTGGTACAGTGACGGACTGAGGTGTCCGCCCCTGATGGAGATGCCTGTGTCCAAGAATGAGACTGATTCTAAGAAGTAATCCATGGTAAGTCTGATGTTGGATGAAACTTGTTGATGTCGCTATGGAATTGTTCCAGTGATTCCTCGCCATGAGTCCAAAGGAAGAAAATGTCGTCAATGTATCTGGTGTATAGCATTGGTCGGAGGTCCTGTGCAGCAAAGAAGTCTTGCTCAAACTTGTGCATGAAAATGTTGGCATATTGGGGAGCAAATTTGGTCTCCATGGCTGTTCTGTGTGTCTGGATGAAGAACTGGTTGTCGAAGATGAAGGCGTTGTGGTCGAGGATGAAGCAGATGAGTTGTAGGATGGCATCTGGAAATTGGCAGTTGGTGGTATTGAGGCTGTTGCAGTGATGCTGTCATTGTGGGGGATGCTGGTGTAGAGAGCCGTCCATTGTGATGAGGAATGTTCCTGGTTCGACTGGTCCATGGGTGCTGAGCTTCTGTAAGAAGTCTGCAGGGTCATGACTGAAGCTGGGGATTCCTTGTACAATGGGTTTCAAGAAGCCCTCGACATAGCCAGAGAGGTTCTCACACAGGGTCCCACTGCCTGATACGATGGGATGTCCAGGTGTGTTGGCTTTGTGTATCTTTGGAAGGCAGTAGAGGTCTCCCAAGCGAGAAGTACATAAGGTTGCCCTGAGGCATAGTATATTGGTGAGACCATGCAGACACTATGACAACAGATGATTGGACACCACGCAACAATCATCAGACAGGGATGTTCCCTCCCAGTTGGGGAAAACTTCAGCGGTCAGGGACATTTAGCTTCTGATCTATGAGTAAGCATCCTCCCACGCAGCCTTCGAGATACACAACACAGAATCGCCGAGCAGAAACTGATAGCCATGTTCTGTACCCACGAAGACGGCCTCAACTGTGATCTTGAGTTCACGTCAACTATGTGACCCAACCATACTGTTCTGTTTCTGTAAAATCTCCCTTACTGTCCTGTTTTGACAGTATCACTATGATAACTTGCTATGAACTCTCTCCCTTAATTAGTTTGTACAGTTTTGGATTACCTACTACTTTGGTTAGACCCTTGGCATGTGACTCTTATATCTACCAAGTTAATTCAGTCATTTAGTTTATCTCCAGCACCACCTTGTTTTAAATGTTTTGTAATTATCTCTCTGCCTCACTCAATCAGATTATAGGTCATCCCTTTGTTTGTTATTCAGCTGCTGACACTTTACTCACTGTTTACACTCTCGGTCACCTGCAGAGACTTATTATCTGACTCTCCACTGACACCACACACACACACATGAATCCATGGGGTGAATTTGCATTTGCTGATCTGTAATTGCAGATACATTCTATTTTGTTCAAAGAGCACTCAATTTGTAGACAGCCAATGTGGCATTTTATAAATCCCTACTTTGGAAATAAAACCAGTCTGACTCCAAGTTGATACACAGCCAGATTCTAAACAAGGTCTCACACCTAAAATGCATTGTCTGACCTTGGATGTCACCTCTGGTATACTGAGGGAATTGATAAAACCTTTGGTTATCTCATGGCAGTGAATTGAAAGAAGTTCAGGAATTTACATATTAATACTCTCTAACTGATTAAAGATTTAACAGCCATCTTAGGTTTGTTCAACACTACATCAGTTCAATGACCCTTTGATCTTTTCCTTATAAATTCTGTGTCCGATTCCACCTCTTTCACTGACATGTGAAGAAGGAGTGAGACTCCGAAAGCTTGTGTCTTCAAATAAACCTATTAGTCCATAACCTGGTGTCGTGCAATTTTTGACCTTGTCCACCCCAGTCCAATACCGGCACCTCCACATTTTGATCTCTCAGCCCTTGATCTCTCTGCCTATAAACTCTGTGTCTGTGTGCTCTTCTCTCTCACTGCACCTGATGAAGGGGCTGCGCTTCGAAAGCTTGTGATTTTGAATAACCTGGTGTCGTGTGACTTCTAACTTTGCTCCCCCCTCAGTCCAACACCGGTACCTCCACATCCAAATCCTCCTCATCACTGCTCATTACCGCCCTCTATAAATATAGTCTTTCTTCCCTTGTATCATTCTTGTAACGCTCCTCTGCATCCACGTTGATGCTCGGAAAGTTGGTTGTAGAGCTGAAACTACCATGCATGAACACAGCAACAATGACAGGTATCAACCTTGAAATAACTGAGAATGGTAAGATCATAGTATTTGACTGAAAACTATGAGGTTCTTTTATTGTTGGTTTATTTTATTAGAAACCCAAACAGAAAGAATTTGCCCGTGTCCTGTACCTTCCACAAACTCAGGCCTTCCTTAGGCTCACAATGACTGTCATAACATAGGGAAAGGCGCAGCAAATTTTCACTCAGCAAGGACCCAATCACTTGTTTACGGCTATTGGTTTAACATAGGAATGTTGGGGATAAACGCCTGCTGCTCTTCCTTAAGTAGTGTGTGATATTTTAGGTCTGAGGAGGAAAACTGGCCATTGATTTTGCACCATCTTAGAAGCTGTCAAAGGGTGGCACGGTGGCTCAATGGTTAGCACTGCTGCCTCACGGCGCCAGGGACCTGGGTTCAATTCCACCCTTGGGCGACTGTCTGTGTGGAGTTTGCACATTCTCCCTGTGTCTGCGTGGGTTTCCTCCAGGTGCTCCGGTTTCCTCCCACAGTCTAAAGATGTGTTGGTTAGGTGGATTGGCCATGATAAATTGCCTGTAGCGTGTAAGGTAGGTGAATTAGACATGGGGGATGTAGGGTTATAGGGGGATGGGATGCTCTTCAGAAGGATGGTGTGGACTTGCTGGGCTGAATGGCCTGATTCCGCACTGTAGGGATTCTATGATCTTGTCAGAGTAACACTCCCTTTGCTGTGTACTTAAACTACTCCAAAACATTAGCCTACCTGCGTACTCAAGTCTCTAACTTTGGGTTATTGTGACTCAGAAGTGAAGACGCTACCACTGAGCACTGCCTAAACTAATAGATTTTGAATAAAATATTTCAAACCATTTTGTTCTTTTACATTAAATTATAGTGCCTGTGACTCATAAGTGTTATTAAGCTTTGATTATTTTTGCTACTTTATACTCATTGGGAGTTGGACTAAGACGCCCTGAAATGAAATTATTTATTCCTTAATGCCTATATTAAAGCAATTTTTAAATGCTTGATCAGTTGCAAATTCTGACAATGAAATGATACCACAAGGCTGAATTTCTGCAAGGATCTCCCAATTTCCAGGTACATCATTAGCGTTAATGTCCATTATCAGTCAGTTATGTCTTTCCTTGGAAAAAAATGGAGGTGGTGACAGGGTAGGATGGAAACAAGGGGGTAATTTCTGCTTACTTCTCCAAGAGAAAGGCCCGTGGAACATTTCTTATCATATCATATCTTAGATAGCCATTGCCCTTCAGTTTCTCTGGCATTTTGCAACTGAATTGTCAACGCAATTAAGGAAGGTTTAAGTAAATCAAGGAATAATACTCAATCTGAAAAATTTTGAGGTTATGCACCAAAATACATTAAAGACCTTGCGATGATTCAAAACGTTACAACAGCAGAAAAAATGTTTGTACAAAAAATACAACTTGAACAAATAAGGTTACTGTTAAAAATCGAACAGTTTTTAGTCAATTGTTTAATTCTGATTTGGTGTTTTTGCAAAATACAACAACAGCGTGCTTTTTAGTCATATCCTACTATTAGCCTTGATCACAAGACAGATCGACTGGCATTTTGAACACGTCCTACCTTTCGGTTGTGTTAAAAGACAAGGTGCATCTTCAGTTTGCTTGTGTAGTGGCAGGCTATTCTACCTTTAAAGAGCAATGGAACTCAAAGTCTTGCAAATATCTGCCACTGTATTTTTGCTTTCAAAGTTAAAAATGTAAAATTGTTATATTGCAAGCATTCTGGGTTCTCTTGTCTGCAAAACAAAAATACAATTTAAATGCATGCTCTATAGTTTTCTAGCTGAGGTTATGCAACTTTTGTCTTCATGATGTTCAGCCTTGAGTTGAATGGAAGGTGATTTGTGGAACTGCTTGACAGAGTGATGCATGAATCTTAAAAGCGGCAAAGGACACTCAGTACTCAAAGGATTAATACACGATATTACAGATAATCAATTTACTTAAAAACAGAACAACAAATTTGGACAGATATTTAACTGTAAGGTCAGATAAGACAATCCAGTTTTCCACTTACAGCTACCAAAACGCTGTAAAAGAAAAGACCATTGAAGTGTTGTTTTCTGACAGCAAGGTAATGGAAGCTCCCAGCTTTGAGTTGAAAGTGAAAGATTTTGAACTGGACAGCCACAAAAGTGCAGGATAGTTCAACGACACAAAAACTCTTGGAAATCTTGCTCCATTTGGTAGCTTTTGGTTCCACAATGTGAGGGCCTTCTTGGGCGTACATTGCAGTGACAACCTGCACGTCCGCACAGGAAGTTGACCAGTCCATAGGAAGAGCATTAGTTGTTGAAGAGGCAGTCCACATCAACTGAACAGCAAATGTTCCCGTTCTGGAAAGGAAAAAAAAAATTCACATTCTCCACATGACACCTAAAGAAATACTTTCATTAATCCAACAACCACTCCTCCCTTTCATTGTATGGTTGAGAAATGTATTTTGAAATGTTTCGTAGAATAAAATGTGATTATAAATATCACTAATGAGCTGGGCAATAAATTATATAATGATAAAAACTAAACAATTGGACCTAATATCTATTCATATCTGTCAATCCTTTTTGCTGTGCAAGGAAGCACATCATAATGCTTAAGAGGTTGCAAAACTAATGGAAACTTCACACATTGAGGGGAATTTGGAGATATTCGAATGGCAGCCTCTTCTAAACATTGTCTGATTCTCATTTTCCCATTGGTAGACTGCTGCTGACTCACTATCCTCTGCATTGTGTTCTTAGGCAAGACCATTTTGAACCCCATTGTTCTGTTTGTGAATGAACGGGAAAGATTTTTACACAAATAAATATGAAGAGCTTACATGCAGGTCAGGTTTTAAGAGTTTTTCATTTATGTGCACAAATCCTCCTACAGACTAACGACCCAAATGCAATCCATCCAGACATGAAACTCATTCAAAATTCAGATGCACACTTCAGCTCAACATAAAATAACTGTCTGGCAAGATAAGCTAAAGGGGCAGGAAATAAACTTCGATAATTTATTGCTAATGTTCAGTTCTTGTTAAAGTATGTTGCATATTGCTAACATTAGTTAAAAATATTGTTTTCATAATATCTTTTAAATATTTCATTATAATATCATTCCCTATTTTATCTAAACTTATATATAGATTAATAATAAAAATCAGATTTATTACTGCAATAACAAGCCAATCAATTTGTTGTCAGGTGTAATAAATTCTATTTCTCTTGGACATATTTTCTGTGACTCAACATTGTGCATCTATCATTAAACTTTACAACTAGTGGAGAAAAATTTCACAATAAAGTCATAAAATCACAGAGATGCACTGACGTTTGAATGTAATCGGTACCTTTAGTACAATCTGGTCTCCCCACTTTAGGAAAGATGTTGCAAAACTTGGAAGGGTTCAGAAAAGATTTACAAGGATGTTGCCGGGGTTTGGAGGGTTTGAGCTATCGGGAGAGGCTGAATACGCTGGGGCTATTTTCCATGGAGCATCGGAGGCTGAGGGGTGACCTTATAGAAATTTTTTAAATCATGAAGGGCATGGATAGGGTGAATAGAAAAGGTCATTTCCCTGGGGTAGGGGAATCCAAAACTAGAGGGCATCAGTTTAAGATGAGAGGGGAAACATTTAAAGAGATCTAAGGGACAGCTTTGTCATACAGAGGGTGGTGCGTGTATGGAATGAGCGGCCAGAGGAAGTGATAGAGGCTGGTACAATTGCAACATTTAAAAGCCATCTGGATGGGTATATGAATATGAAGGGTTTAGAGGGATATAGGCCAAATGCTGGCAAATGGGACTAGATTAATTTAGGATATCTGATCGGCATGGATGGGTTGGACTGAAGGGTCTGTTTCCATGCTGTACAGCTCTATGACTCCTTGACTCTAACTGTATTTCTTTACATTTTTATCCATGTCTTTACATTCTTCCTTGTTTTGCTTGATAAGGGGATTAAGGGTTACAGGGAGGAGGCAGGATCAAATGACTGAGTAGACTCGATGGGTTGAATGGCCTAATTCTGCTTCTATATCTTATGATCTTATGGTCTCTTATGGCATCCCTCTCATCCTGAATTGTCCATTCCTTTCATCTCACTCATAACTTCCCTATCCCATCCCACCCCTCCTTCCTATACTGATGCTATCTCCCATTTCATCCCTCCTATGCCACCCTCCAACACTGTTCCTATGACACATCGCCATGCCAACTTTCCTTTTCCTGTATATTCTCTCCTCCCATGTGGTCGCCTCTGCACACAGCACATCACGAACATGCTCCCACATCTCCCTCACTTACAGCTGGCTTTCTGTTGACGTGGTTGTTCTATACCTGTGTAGGCACCAGTTGGTTAGTTGGATAGTTTAAAACATCAACATGAAACTCAGACAGCTCCTGAAGGGGCATGAACAAAAGCACTACAAAATGGTTCACGGAAACTTATGAAAAGTGAACAGAAACTGTTCCATGTTTGGCTCAGATTTCCATAGTATTATGCTTTTAATTAAAATATTATACAGGAAACATGTAGAATAGATTGTACAAAGATAATATTATCAGGTATATATTACTAGAAAAGAGAGGGCAGAGGGATAACTGGAAAGGAGTTCTTTTTAAGTTCACAATATGTCTGGATAGAGATGGAGAAGATGACCAAGCATGGAACAGCCCAGATCAAAGAGGCAACAAATATATAATAGTCCCTATTAATAAAGAATTTAAGGGGCATTTTATTCAGACAGCATTGAGAATGTAACATATCACATGGAGCAGTTAAGGTAGTTTTAAATCTGAGATAGATAATTTTTTAGATATTAAGGGAAATGGGCCAACGGCAGGTATATGGAGTTAGGCCACAGATCAGTCATGATCTCATTGAATGGTAGAACAGGCTTGAGGGGCTGAAGAGTCTTCTCATATTCCGATGCTCATATGTGAATAGCACTAAGAAGAAGCTAAATTAGCACATGAAAGACAAGTGAGATTAGTCAAACTGGGAGTAGGTTTGAGTGCAACATAAAGAGCTGAATAAAACATTTGGATGAAAACGTCTGTTTCTGTCCTTACAATACCATACTGCAGTTATATATAATAATTCTAGTCATATAAATTTGACAAATGAAACTGAGAAAGATAATTATGAATGTTAATTCATAAATGCATTCAAAATGATTTCTTAGATCACATTTTTTAGAACTGACCAAGGAACAATATATTTTAGATTTGGTAATTTGGAATGAGACAGTAATAATAGTGATCTCATTGCAAAGATTCTTGAGGGAAGAGTGCTCATAAAATCGGAATAATTCACATTCAGTTTGACAGTTAGAAATGTGGATCAGAAACTAATGTCTTAAATGTAAATAAAGACAATTATACAGGTTGTACTAGGAGAATAGGTTACAAGAAAGTGTCAGATACTAACAGAAGCTTTATAACTCTCAATAAATATATATCAAGTTGAAAAAAAGACTTGGACAAACCATCCGTGACTAATAAAAGAAATTAAAGGTAATATTAAATTTAGAGAAACAGAACAAAGTGCTGTGAAGATTAATAAGAGGAGCTTGGACACATTTAGAAGGCAGCAAAAATGATTTTGGAAATAAAACGAAAGATAGAATATGAACGTAAATGAGCAAAGAATTTGAAAACAGGCTGTAGGAATGTCTATCAATAGATAAAGAGGAAAAGAGTAGCTGAGGTAATTGCTGCTCCCTTAGAAGGTGAGAGTGGGGAATTATAATGGGAATCAAATATATGGCAAAGACTTTGAACCAGTCGGCACATGACACCAGGTTATAGTCCAATAGGTTTATTTGAAATCACAAGCTTTCAAAGCACTGTGCCTTCATCAGGTGAAGTGAAGAGAAGGACACAGGCACAGAATTTATATGCAGAGAGATTAAAAGATTGTAGAAATGTTCATACAAAAGATCTTTTGATCTCTCTGTGTGTAAATTCTGTGCCTGTGTGCTTCTCTTCACGTCACCTGATGAAGGAACAGTGCTTCGAAAGCTTGTGATTTCAAATAAACCTGTTGGACTATAACCTGGTGTCATGTGAGTTCTGACCTTGTTCACCCCAGTCCGACACCAGCACTTCCACATCATTTGAACATATCTGTCTTCACTATCAAAGTGCTAAAATCAGCCCAAGGTTAGTTAAATATCAAGGAGTAAGAGGTTAGAATATAAAACAGCCACTATAAGTAGAGAAGTAACAGGAAACGTAATCAGACTGCAGGATGTCAAGGCCCCTGGACTTCATGGCTTGTGTTCCTTTGTAAATTTTTATTTCCTCCTCATAGTGTGTGTTCCCAAATATCTGTGTATTGTTAACAAATCTGGCTACAATATGTTTGGTCCCTTCATCTAGGTCACTCATATAGATTGTAAATATTTGAGGCCCTGTAAACTTAAGAAGCTGCAGGAATATTTGATGCACTGGTCAGTTACCTTCAACAATTCCTTGGATCCACTTCCAAGTGGAATTGGAAAATGACAATTCAAGAAAGACAAGAGATGGAAAGCAGAAAACCATAGTCCAGTTAGCCAAATGGTTGCCACTGGCAAAATACTGCAGTCCATCATAAAGAACGTACTGGCATGATGTTTAAAAATAATTGCAACATAAGCAAGTACAGCCAAAATGGTTTGATGAATGGAAAATTGTATTTGACAAATTTATTTGTGTTCTTTGATGATGTAACTTGCTGGATGGATAAAGGTGAACCAGTGTCTGCATTTCTGCAAATATTTGAGAATGATAAAAGCTTACAAAGCAAAATGAGACTTAATAGTGTTGCAGCTAATATTGTCGCAACATTAGTGCTTGAATAACTGACGGGAAACAGAGGATCAAGCAACTTTCAGTTTAGAGAATTGCAATATTGCCAAAGTGACTGGTGCTGGGGCCTCAAATATTTACAATCTATATGAGTGACTGAGATAAAGGGACTACATATATTGTGGCTAAATTTGTTAACAATACAAAGATACTTAGCAATGCAAGTTGTGAAGAGAAAACAAAGGTTTGGAAAAAAATATAGATCAGTTAAGTAAGTAAAAAAAAAAATTGTCAGTAAGAGTATAGTGTGCGACAGATAGAGTATAATGTGCGACAGATAGAGTATAATGTGCGACAGATAGCGTATAATGTGGGACAGACAGAGTTTAATGTGGGACAGATAGAATATAATGTGAGACAGACAGAGTATAATGTGGGACAGATAGAGTATAATGTGGGAAAATGTGAGGCGAGCCACTTTGGGAGGATAAGGAAGAGTAGAAAGGTGGAATTTCATTTAAATAGAGATTTCAGAAATATCTGAGGAAGTCAT